AAGGCTTGGAACTTGACATAAGAGCTGAAGTCGGGTCTACCAATGCATCAGCCCACCTACCGCCACAGAGGAGACACATCTGAGACCTTCATTCCTCACACACAGACCTCCTCCGAGTCTCTGCTGCCTGCGAGAGCTGTCCAGACTCCTAACCGTGGCATTCACGGCCTCTGCTGGTCCAGCCGCACCTCTCCCAGCTCCCACACCCACCTCCTTATGGCCGTGGCTACCCCATTCGCTCACCATCTTGACCCACCTCAGTGCCTTTGCATGTGCTGTGGCTGCTGCCTCGAATGCCTCTTTCCCCTCCCCTACTCCTCCTGCAGAAGAAAGGCCTGGTAATCTACTTCTAAAAAAACCAGCCCCTGCAAACCCTGTGGAGCACAGTTCTACCGTGGATCCGTGGGCTTGAATCGTGAGTTGGAATCGACTCAGCAGGAACTAGTTTAGTCATCCTGCAGGACCCCGTCAGAGCCACGTTTGACAAACACCGGCACAGCCGGGGGAACAGGCCAAGGTCTTCCTGAGCCATGCGTCCCAGCCCAGATGGGCTTTTTCCCTCCGGCCCTGCCCTTAGAGGCAAGTTTTTCATGCTTCTTTTTGGCCTCTTCAAAGAAATCAGTCAAACAGGAAGTGAGATGCATGGCAAGAAGTGGACGGGCCGCCCTGGAATCCTCCAGCCCCTCACTCAGGAGGCCCTCGAGTCGCCCACACACAGCAGAGAGGAAAAGTGACAGCACCCCACATGGCATCTTGTGGGAGCTCTGAGTTTTGCTTGCTGATGCCACCATCACCCCTGGACGAGGCCCAGCCCTTCACATGGCCAATAAGCCCCTGGATAATCTGACCCTTCCTGGGCCTCCACCTTCATCTCAGCTACTTCCTAGTCACAGCCTATTATCAGTTCAAGCTTTATTACTGCCTCCCCCAACTCACCAGGCTATTTCTGTGCCCTTGCTTAGGCTGAGAAAACTATTTCTTCCCTTGGATTTCTAGTGAACTCCTAGTCATCCTTCAAAACCCTAGCCTCGGGTCACCTCCTCTGGGAAGCCTTTGCTGATCCTCTCAAACAGACTTGCCCTCTCACATCTTTATCTCACTTTACGTATTACCTCCCTCATCCTCAGGGATCACTGTTTTTCCCACAGCTGCTCCCCACTTTCACGATGAGTATCTCGAGGACAAAGGCTATCCCTATTTTAACTCCTCATCAGCCAAGCTGAACAGAGGGCCTGACACATGGGAGGGACCCCGTAACTGTTTACTGAACAGAATGAATCTCCAGCTGAACTCCCAGAGGGTCCCCAGTTCCTCATGGTGACCCACTCTGGATCCATTGTTACCCATGGCCTGGTCCAGTTCTCTCTGGTTCTGTCTATACTTACAGTGGGTACCACCCAGTAACATTCTATTAGGAAGACAAGAAGCCAACACTGGCTGAGCCAGGCCCTGGACTGGGCTCAGGGCCGTGAATACACCTTACCCTCATGATGAGGGAAAGCTCGTACCATGGAAAGTCAAACTCTAGCTAATAAATGTTGAAGGAACAATGGAGTTAAAGCACCACCACTTGGCAACTGCCCCATTAGTGGGTGAATGTGTGATGAGGAGCAAGATAATCACACACTCTCAAAATTTCTTCCTACAAGTAATTCCAGGGGGAAGCATAGTAAGTTCCCAGTGGGAAGCCTGGCTGGCTCCATTTTAACCAAGTGATCAGAGCTGTATCACCAGGAAGAGGGCAAACCAACCCCACGTTCCTCCTCACAGGACGCCCTGAGGAGGATTCACTGTCGCCTCTGGAGCTCCCCTTCAGAACTTCACAGTCAGAATCTAACCACAAGGAAACACCAGACACCCCCAAAGGGAGGGCCATTCTGCACAGTAACTGGCCTGCACCCCTCACAGCTGTCACAGGTGTGACAGACAGACAGAGGGACTGTCCCACATGGTGGTGGTTACTGTCAGCTGTCCTCGAGTCGATTTTCAACTCATAGTGACCCCATGCAACACAGGAAAACTGCCCCATAGAGTTTTCTAGGCTGTAATCCTTATGGGAGCAGAGCATCAGGTATTTTTCCCACACAGCTGCTGGGTGGGTTTGAACCACCAACCTTTCAGTGAGCAGCTGAGTGCTTAAGTGGCATTACCAAGGATCCATCCCAGGTCGAAAGGGGCTGAAGAGACACAAGAAACACCTGATCCTGGGGGGGAAAAAAAAAAGTTATCTTTTGCTCAGAAAAAAAAAAGAAAAGAAAAACCTCAAACTCACTGCCATCAATCAATTCTGTACTGACCCTTGTCGAGTTTCCAAGGCTGTAAATCTTTATGGAAGCAGACTGCCTCATCTTTCTCCTGAGGAGGGGCTGGCGGGTTCAAACCACTGAACTTGTATGTGTCCCAAGTCATAGCCAGAAAATAGCAGAGGTTGGCCTAGAACTGGACCCTTGACTCCCCAGCCACGTGCTCTCCCTGAGGCTACGAATGACAGTCATGACTGGTTACTAACATTTGCTGAGCTTGTCTCTCCGCCACTCTGGGCCAAGCACTTACATGAATCAGCACCTTGATGTAGGGAGCGTGAGGGTCCCTCCCTCAGAGGGTGGCTGGGCAGGTGCATGGAGCTAATTAGTGCAAGCACAGCCCTTGGCACCGTGCCTGGTGTGTGTGGACGCTGCCATCTGGAATTAACTGTGTTCATAGCCCCTGTGCCTATGATTATAACCCCATTTGGGAATAGGTCGTCTCTGTTATGTTAGTGAGATGAGATTAGTGTAGGGTGTATCTTAAATCACTCTCTTTTGAGAAATAAAAGAATAAACGCAAGCTTGGGATGGGGGCGGGGGGATACCAAGCCCCATGAAGATTGCCCAGGAGTAGAAGCTCACAAGAGACAAGGCCCTCCTGGCCAACAGAGGAGAGAGCGCGTCCTCTAGAGCTGGTGCCCTGAATCCAGACCTCCAGCCTCCTAACCTATGAGAAAATGAATTTCCGTGACAGCCACCCACTTGTAATAGGCAGGCCTACAGGCTGAACACTTACACCAGGGAGATGCACTCCTTAGAAGTGATCAGAAGGGCAGCATCTGCACAGGAGAAAGCTAGACAGGCAGGAATGCATAGGTAAAAAGGATGCCTTCCTTCCGAGGAGTGGCGGCTGGTGGGCTTAAACCGCCGGCCCTCTGGTTAGCAGTCAAATGCCTTAGGCACTATACTACCAGAGCTCCCAGGAAGGACACAGAGAAGGGGTAAGCACAGGGAGGAGGTGGGGGGACAGCTGTTACATTTTGGTGATTGTAATCAGTGTCACAAAACAGAAGGTTGAATGTCAAAAGAATCTGCTTTGTAAAACTGCACCCAAACGCAATAAAAAAACAAAAAATAAAAAAAAGCCATCTCCTTGGGGTATTTCTGTTGCAGGAGCACTAGATAAGATAAAACCCTTCTCATCATTTTTTATAAACTTATTTCTTAGAACAGTTTTACCTTTGCAGAAGAACTGAGAATAGTAGAGAGTTTTCATAGCCCACGTCCCATTTCCCCAATCATGAATTCCTTGCATTAGTAGGTCCACTTATTAGTTAATGAACCCATAGCGATAGGTTACTGTTAACTGAACAAAACCAAAAGCAAACTACTGCTGTCGAGTCGAACCCAACTCATAGCAACCCCTCCTTGGGTTTCTGAGGCGGTTATCACTATGGAAGTAGATTGCCCAACCTTCCTTCCAAGGAGTGGCTGGTGGGTTTGAACCACCAGCCTTCTGGTTAGCAGTCAAATGCCTTAGGCACTACGTCACCAGAGCTCCTAAAGTCCACGCTTTATTCAGATTTCTTAGCTTTTCGCTCACGTCTATTCCAGGAAACCATCCAGTAGACCACACTACATTTAGTTGTTCAACCAAAACAAAAACAAAAAAAAAAACAAGTGCACTGCCATCAAGTCGATTCCAACTCATAGCGACCCCCATTGGGTCCAAGGCTATAAATCTTTATGGAAGCAGACTGCCTCATCTTTCTTCTGCAGAGCAGCTGGTGGGTTAGAACCACTGACCACCTGAGCACCTTGGTTGTTCATGCAGGTTATTTTTATTAGTAATGTTGTTGCTGTTGTTAATTGCTGTCAATTCCAACTCACGTCAACCCCATGTGTACGGAGTAGAACTGCTCCTTAGGGCTTTCGAGGCCACAACCTTTGAGAAGCAAATCACCAGGCCTTTCTTCCAAGCTGCCTCTGGGCGGGCTCAAACTGCCAACCTTTCAGCTAGTAGTTGAGGGCATGACTATCCGTGCCACCAAGGCCTCTTTTATTAGTGACAGCTGTTGTCACAGTCACTCACTGAACCCTGAGGCAAGCCCAATGAAGGGGCTTCCGTCTGTTTACTCACCTGTCTCCCCAGGTGACTTAGAGTTCTGCAGAGCAGGGGCAGTCTCCATGATCTTGTTCTGCCGGCCCCCAACCCCATCAGAGTGAGGAGGAAACGAGCATGGCTTACTGTCCACCACCAGCGCCCTGCAGCTCCCGCCCCCGAGGCCTGGATGTGAAGGCAGGCCCATGAGGACCTGATCAGGCAGGGAGGGAATGATCTCGGGTCTGGGAGGCCGGGCGGTGGGCCAACCGTTGATCCTGTCCCACAGCCCACCTGCAGTCTCGGCCCACTTTCCCTAGAAAGTTCCTCCCCAGGCAGAACCACTCCTGCTGAACAGCCATCCCCATTGCTCCCAGCCCCCCAGCTGTGAGGCAGGAAGCAGGGCCCAGGGGCTGAGGACAGGTTTCCCACCAGCCCTTCAGGGACGCAGGCTGGGAGGGAGCCTTCTTCTGCTTTGGGGCAGGAGTTTTACCATGGTCCCTGGTAGCCAGGTGGGCACCCACCAGCTGAGGCCCCTCCACTCTCAAAGCCTCCCACCTGCCACCTCCACCTATAAGGCCTAGACCTTCACCTGGCAGAAAGGAGCAAGTGTTATGGGGTCTATGCTGTGCCTCAAGTCAGAGGTCCTAGCCATGACCTGGGGTCACTGTGTGGTCCTGCTCTTGCTGGTGGCAGCCACTCTGGGGCCAGGGCTGGGCCTGGACCAGCAGCCACAGCCCGAGCCCGGTCTCCCAGGCCTGCAGCACAGCTACGACTGTGGGGTCCAAGGCATGCAGCTGCTGGTGCTCCCCAGACAGGACCGGGCCGTCCGCTTTAAGGTGGTGGGTGAGTACCTGCCAACTGAGTCCCCTTCCCCACCCCCCCAGACCTCAGGCTGCAGCAGGAGGCTGGCACCCTCCCTTGGAGCAGGAACAAGAAGACCTGAAAGCTCCCCTGGGACTTGGGGGTGTCTGTCCCACCAGCACCACTAGGGAGTAGAAGGGAGGTGACATGCCAGCCTTCATTCCCCTGGTCAGCAGGACAGCACTCCTCCAACATCACTGTGCGCAGGAATCACCTGGCCACTTTGCTGAAACCCAAGTTCTGATTCAGTAGTTCCGAGTCAACAAGGAGCCCCGATGCACAGTGGTTTAAGCGCTTACCTGCTAACCAATAGGTCAGTGGTCCAAACCCACCAGCCACTCCTCGGGAGAAAGATAAGGTAGTCAGCTTCCATAAAGATTATAGCCTTGAAAACGCTACAGGGTGGTTCTGCTCTCTGTGGGGTCGCTATGGGTCAAAATCAACTTGACAGCAATGGGTAGGTCCAGGGCAATGCACTAGCTTCCTAGTGCTACTGTAACAAAATATGGGTGGCCTGAAACCACAGAAGTGATCATCACACAGTCTGGAGACTAGCAGTCTGAGTGCTGAATGTCAGCGGGCCATGCTGTCTCTGAATTCCCTGTGGGATGATCCGTCTCTCCCAGCTTCCAGTAGCCCCAGCTGTTCCTCAGCTTGTAGATGTGTCTTCACACAGCCACTCTTCCTGTTTGTCTCTCTGGGTCCCTTCTCTTTCATAAGGACGCCACTCAGCTTGATTTGTTGTTGTTGTTAGGTGCCGTCAAGTTGGACCCGACTCATAGTGACCCTTCCTTGGGTTTCTGAGGCAGTATCACTACGGAAGTAGATTGCTGTTGTTGTTATTATGTGCCGTCGAGTAGGCCCCGACTCATAGTGACCCCTCCTTGAGTTTCCGAGGCAATATCACTACGGAAGTAGGATTGCCCAACCTTCCTTCCAAGGAGTGGCTGCTGGGTTTGAACCAACAGCCTTCTGGTTAGCAGTAAAGTGCTTTAGCCACAAGTAGATTAGGAACCCTCTATTGCAGTGTGATCTCATGTTAACTGATAGCATCTTCAAAGACCCTGTTTCAAACCAAGGTCAGGTTCACAGGTACAGGGGTTGGGATGTAGATGTATCTTTTTTGGGGACACCATCCAGTCCACCACAGTCAGGCCCAAACATCTGCATTTCTGACCTCCGGGCTGATGCTGAGGCTGCTGGCTCAAAGCCCCGTGCTCTGGGCGCCAGGGCCCTGGTGGATATGGGTTTGGAATGCATTCCAATCTGCAGCTTCTAACCTGTGTGATCTTGAGCAACTGATCGGACCTCTCTGAGCCTCTGTTTCCTTATCTGTAAAATGGGAGGTGACCCAATCTGCCACGTGGACTGCACGGGAGTGCATGGGGTGAGCCCCACACGCAGAGGGGACCCTGAGTGCTCTAGGTGGACAGGGTGAGGAATACTCTTTTCAAAGGGCTGTGAGAGCCAGTAACCTGCAAACAGGCTTAGCTCCTTCTGTGAGACCCGGGTTCGAATCCTTGTTCTGCCCTCATTGTGAGCACCTGAGAAAGCTCAGCACCCTCTGGGCCTCAGCTGCCTCATTATTCAATGAATAGAGATAACTAAGCTTCAAAGACACAAAGCAACACAGCCATCCCAGCACCTGGGGCTCACTTTATCCTTTCTCCACTACATCCCTCTTCCTGGCCCGGGTGGGCCTTTCCTTGTGGGGACTGCTGTGTGGTGTCAACAGAGTGGCACCTTAGCTAGAAAGATTCTAAGGCCAGTTGAAGCCAACCATCACCTTACAGATGTAGAAATTGAGACCAGAGAGGGGAAGGGGCTTGCCCAAGGACACACAGCAAGCTCGCAGTGAAACAAAGGCTAGAACCCAGGTCTCCTGCCTCCTGAGTGGGGATTCTTCTCAGCAGATCCCAGCAGCCTCTGCCGTTACCCTTCAGCCATCCTGACCTCCCTCTCCCCCACCCCAGATGAATTTGGAAACCAGTTTGATGTGAACAACTGTTCCATCTGCTACCACTGGATCACCTCCAAGCCCCAGGGGGCTGTGGTCTTCTCTGCTGATTACAAAGGCTGCCACATGCTGGAGAAGGTAAGGCTCACCCCTGGCTCTTGGGAGAACCCCTGCTGGGAGTATCTGGCTGTCAAGGCCCCTTGTGGGGGGCGGTGAAGAATCCGGAGCCTGAGGTCATTCAGTGAGTTGGTGGGTGAGGAAGACTCAGTAGGTTATTCCAGCTCGACTCCCGCTGGTGCCTCCTCTGCCTGGGATGTGGTGGCCTCACCTGGCCAGGCTCCCCTCACCTAGCCTGCCTCTCACCTGCAGGATGGGCGTTCCCACCTGAGGGTGATGATAGAAGCCCTGCTGCCTGATGGCCGAGTTGATGCAGTACAAGATGCCACTCTGATCTGTCCTAAGCCCGACGGCTCCTGGACTCCGGACTCCCACCTGGTGCCACCCACCACGTCCATACTTTCTACTCCTCACACTCTTCCCCCCGACTCCACCTCCAGCCACCCCTCCCCTGACTCCAGCCACACCCTTCCAAGTCTGCTATACCCAGATCACAGCTCCATCCATCCAACTCCGGCCTCGTCATTCCTGGGACCTGGACCGATGAGCCCCACCCTGGCTCGATCCCAGAGGAGCACCCGGGAACATGGGGATATTGACAAACTAGCTTACGTAGGTACATGGGACTTCTCTGTTGCATGCAGACCCTCTGTACCAGGGCCTCCTGGAGCCTCAGGCCGTCTGACAGCCCTTTACTCAGCTCTAAGAAGCCATCTCACTCCCTATTTCCTTGAAAGGCTGCAGCCCAGCCTGGCTCCTTCTCACATCTTCACCACCCTGTCCCCAGCCCTAGGTACCCATCTGACCCAGGAGCAGTGCACAGTGGCCTCTGGGCACATCCCCTGCACAGTGAGAAGAAATTCAAAGGAAGCCTGTCAGCAGGCTGGTTGCTGCTATGACAACACAAGAGAGATTCCATGTTACTATGGCAACACAGGTATAGCTATCCATGGTACCCTAGACTTGAAGCATTCGTTTTTCTAGCCCCAACTGGTTGATAATGCAACAAAAAACGAAACCCTTGCCATGACTCATAGTGGCCCCTTCTTGGGTTTCTGAGGCAGTATCACTAGGGAAGTAGATTGCCCCATCTTCCAAGGAGTGCCTGGTGGGTTTGAACCGCCAGCTTTCTGGTTAGCAGTCAAATGCCTTAGGCACTACGCCACCAGAAACTCAGCTTAAAATCCTATTCCTAGGAGAGCCTGACTCCCGGCTACAGGAAGAGACTTTTAGATAGAGTGATCGTGCACCCAGCTTGTCTTCTAACAGTTGTCCCGGGGAACTATTAAGAGTACTCCCTTCAAATGGTTAAGAGCTTGACTACTATAACTGAAAGGTTGGCTGTTTGAATCCCCCCAAAGGTGCCTTGGAAGAAAGGCCTGACAGTCTCCTTCTGAAAGATCACAGCCATTGAAAACCCTCTGGAGTGCAGTTCTACTCTGAAACACCTGGGGTCATCATGAATCAACTCAATGGCAGCTGGTTTTGGAGTCTCTGCTGGCACAAGTGCTCAAATGCTTGGCTGTTAATGGGAGGCTGGTGGTTCAAGTCCACCCAGAAGTATCTCAGAAGAAAGGCTTGGTCATCTACTTCCAAAAAATCAGGCACTGGAAACCCTAGGAACACAGTTCCACCCTGACACACGTGGGGTGGCATGCACTGTCATTGACTCAATGGCAACTGGTTGGTTTGGTTTGGTTTTTAGAGCTGCAACATCCTGGTTTGTACCATTAAATTACACAGTGACCATACTTGTAGAGCATGGTTCAGCCCTTGTCTTCCATGGGGGAGAGAAATCCATAAAGGGTTTGTCCAAGCTCAGTCACAGAGGAGAACAAGACAACGGGAGTCTTCCGGCTCCCGGGCCAGTGCTTGGCTCCTGGTTGTCATCTAGTCCATGCCCTGTCCTGTGCTGGAGGAGCACTAAGCCCTATGGCCCTGATTGGCCTCTTTGATCTGCCCTTGTCCCAGCTACTGTCCAGTGCTTCAGAGATGGCCACCTCGTCCTAGTGGTATCCCAAGAAACAGCCTTGGCACACAGGATCACGTTGGCCCGTGTCCACTTGGCCTATGCTCCCACCAGCTGTCCCCCAGCCCAGAAGACAGACGCTTTTGTGGTCTTCCAATTTCCTCTCACCCACTGTGGCACCACAGTCCAGGTAGGAATGGGGTCGGAGGCTGGTGCCCAGTATCATGCCCAGGAGAGCCTCACCCAGCTATCTTCTCCCACAGGTGGCTGGCAACCAGCTCATCTATGAGAATGAGCTGGCATCTGACATCGATGTCCAGATAGGACCCCGGGGCTCCGTCACATGGGACAGCACCTTCCGGTGAGAAGGGGAGCCCTCCTTGAACAGGCAAGGCTGTGGAGTTGGGTGTGAGGAGCACAAGATAGTTTTCAGGGTCAGTTGTGTTTGAATCAAGGAACTCTGGTGGTGTAGTGGTTAAAGCATTTGGCTGCTAACCAAAAGGTCCATAGTTCAAACCATGAACCTGGGACCTGGACCAATGAGCCCCACCCTGGCTCGATCCCAGAGGAGCACCCTGGAACATGGGGATGTTGACAAACTAGCTTACGTAGGTACATGGGACTTCCCTGTGCGTGCAGACCCTCCATGGGCAGCTGCTCCATGGGAGAAAGATGAGGTAGTTTGCTTCCATAAAGACTTACAGCCTTAGAAACCCAATGGGGCAGTTCTACTTTGTCCCATGGGTTGCTATGAGTTGTAACCGACTTGATGGCAGTGGGTGTGGGTTTTAGGGGAACTGAGGTCAAATCAAAGCTCTGTTACCTGGCTGTGTGGCCTTAGACAAACTACTTCCTCTCTAGCCTCCACTTTCTCATTTAAAAAAAAAAAAATTAAATAGTTGCCATTGAATTGATTCTGACTCAGGGCCATGCCCACGTGTGCAGAACAGAACTGTCCCACAGAGTTTCCATGGCTGTGACCTTTCAGAAGCAGACACCAGGCCTTATCTTCCAAGGTGCCTCTGGGTGGGTTTGAACCACCAACATCTTGGTTAGTCAGGTGCTTAACCGTTTGTGCCACCCAGGGACTCCCTTCAATAGGTAAGGAGGGGCAATGCCCCTCTGTCGGGCTGACGTGAGGGTGCGGTGAGGTCTCCCCTGCCTGGCTCACAGGGTTCTGAAGGAAGCTGGTAGCACTGCCCGGGGGTAAGGGGGCTAGAGCCCTCAAGAGCTCTGACTTTGTCCCTCCAAGAATGAAGCTGAGCTACTGAAAGTGGCCCCTTTAAACCACACGAGGAGGCGGAGGCTGTGGCCGCCTTCTGATCTTGGAGGTGATGAAGCCATGGAGCAGGCGAGAGATGATAGCCTGTGATGAAGCTTTCCAAGAGCGAGGGCAGTAGCAGCTGGGGGAGGAACCTCTCGTTGAAAGGGGCCAGCCAGGCCTGCTGACTCGTGTAGTACAGCCACACTAGGTGTCTGTGGTGTCAGTGGGGGTGTCCCCAAGAGAATATGCACTTGTCACTCCCATTGCAAGTCTGCGATGTCAGAGTGACCAGGAGCAAGTCTCTTGACCTTGGCCTGTTACCATAAACCATTGACGTTGAGTTAATTCCAACTCATAGTGACCTAGCAGGGCAGAGAAGAACTCTCCCATAGGCTTCCAACGCTGTAAATCTTTACAGAAGCAGACGGCTTCATCCTTCTCTTGAAGAGTAGCTGGTGGATTTGAACCACCAACCTTTTGGCTAATAGTTGAGTGCTTAACCACTGTTACCAGGGCTCCTCTAGATACTACTCAGTTAGGAATTCTGTGCTTGGCAGCATACCGAGGCCCAGGGGCTTCCATCTCCCCTTCCCATGGGGGAGGGCTGGTCTCAGCCTTCAAGTGTTCACCCCTCGGGTGGGGGTGGGGGACCAACCTAGTTCATGCTTGAGCTTCTTAGATCTGAGAGCAATGGGACACTAGCCAGAGTGAACACGGAGCAGCCATGTATGAGGAAGGGAAGGGCAGGCTGGCAGGAAGCAGCAGGAGGGGCCCTCAGAACAAAGCTGAGAAGGTGGAAAGGACTTCAGGGCAGGCGGTGCTACCCCAGGGCTGCAGAACCAAACACCACACGCGTTGTCTACTTCTGGAGGCCAGTGGTCTGAATTCAGGGTGTCGGCAGGGCCGTGTTCTCTCTGAAGGCTCTGTTGTTGGCAGCCATTGAGTCTATTTCAACTCATAGCAACCCCCATAGTAGAGTAGAACTGCCCTGGTTAAGGGTTCACTGTAACTGAAAGGTCAGCAGTTCAAACCTACCAGCTGCTTCTCAGGAGAAAAGGCCTGGAGATCTGCCCCATAAAGATGATCACCTAGGAAAGCCTATGGGGCAGTCCTCTGTCCTAGAGGGTCCCTATGAGTCAGGATCCACCAGGATCTAGAAGATTCTTGTCTCTCCCAGCTTCTGGTAGACCCAGACATTCCCTGTCACGTGACTGCATCTTCATATGGCTGTCTTTCCTCTGTCTCTGTGTCTCCTCTCCCCTTTCATAAGGACACCACTCAGATCAGATTAGAACCCATCCTGTTCTACACACCCTCATGGTAACTGATAACATCTTCAAAGACCCTATTCCCAACAAGGTCACATTCACAGGTACCTAGGGTTAGGAGTTCAACAGATCTCCTTGGAGGGACAAAATTCAGTCCATGAGACTGTGCAGAAGTCAGTCTCCACCTACGGGACGTCTTCCCGAACGTCACCCAGGCTCCCAGCCATCCAACAGACAAAGGCAGAGAGAGCACCTAGGAGTGGGAGGGAGGGTACAGTGAGGTCAGGTCACTCCCACAGAATGCCTACCGGCCCCTCCGCACGAGGAATCTGGTCCAGCAGGCTGACCAGGGCCCTGGCCCTGAGTAAGGGAGGGAGCTACCAGTCCCGGCGGTAGACCTGAAGATGCTGGGGCCTTGTGACTTCATTTATTTCTCAGACGCAGGCTACAGAACCACAGCCCTCAGGTGGAGGGGGCTGTGGCCATATTCCAGATGAGGAAACTGAGGCTTAAGGTAAATAGCTTATTCGCATGGCCGTTAAATTCAAAGACGAGTCAAGGCCAGGTCTGTCAGGACAGAGCTCCTGGGTCGGTCCACCAGGCCTGATCATCTGGCTCCGAGGGCTTCAAATACCTGAACAGGGCATGTGTCTGAGGGCAGGCGGCAGCCCTAGTGAGGGGCCAGGCCCTTCTTCCATCCCACTGGACTTCAGCCCCTAGAACAGGACCTGGGTACTTGAAGAGGAAGTGAAGGGAGACCGCCGAGCTGTCCTGGGAAGGTGGAGTGGGCGGAGGCTGGGAGCAGGAGAGCAGGCTAGCTCCCCTACCCACCCTACCGCCCTAGCGACCGCTGCCTTTGGAGGACTCGCTGCCGGGTCCCACCACCAGCACTCGCTCACCTGCTCTCTGGGACGCTGATCCTGTGTCTCCTCCCACGCCACCCTGCGCTCGGCCTCCAGGCTTCACGTCCGCTGTATCTTCAACGCCAGTGACTTCCTGCCCATCCAGGCATCTGTCTTCCCGCCCCCACCACCTGGTGCCGTGACCCAGTCTGGTCCCCTGCAGCTTGAGCTTCGGATCGCTAAGGGTACAGAATCCCAGCTTTCTCTTTCTGGGCCCCCTCCCCAACTCCCTGACACACAGCCACGCAGGACTCACGAGCCCTCTCCCTGCAGATGAGAGCTTTAGCTCCTTCTACAAGGAGGACGACTACCCCGTCTCCAAGCTGCTCCGAGAGCCAGTCTACGTGGAGGTCCGGATCCGGCAGAGGACAGACCCTGGCCTGGTCCTGATGCTGCACCAGTGCTGGGCCACACCCAGTACCAACCCCTTCCAGCAGCCTCAGTGGCCCATCCTGTCTGATGGGTGAGGGGCAGTGGGTGCCCGAGAACCCCGGGGGCTCCGTCCCTGCCTGTCCACAGCTTGGCGGCTGCCTTCTCTTCTCTCCTTCTCAGGTGTCCCTTCGAGGGTGACGGTTACAGAACCCAACTGATGGCCTCGGACGGGGCACTGTCCTTCCCGTCTCACCACCAGCGCTTCACTGTGGCCGCTTTTGCCTTTCTGGACAAGGGCTCCCACGGGGCCCTCAGGGGACCGGTAAGGAAGCACAGTGTCCCCTGCCAGGTCCCCACCTGCTAAGTGAGAACCAGCCGGTCATCAGGTCCCTCCGTGCCCTGGGAGGGAATGTAGACAAAGCCCCCCGATGGTGCTGGGTTCTACCGAGGGCTGTACCAATGCAGGCCCCTGGGCCGAGCGAACAGTTAACCAGAAGGTGGGAGGTTTGAATCCAGCCCCAAGTACGCTGGAAGAAAGGCCTAGTGACCTCCTTCAGAAAAACCAGCCACTGACAATCCATGGAGCAGAGTTCTTCTCCAACACACACGGGTGGCCACGAGTTGGAAGCAATTGCTCAGCCACTGTTCCTCCTGCTGTCGTGCAAACGGAGCAGGGCGGTGAGCGCAGGCTCCTGGCCTCAGCTTAGTTCAGAGGCAGCCCCAAAACTCGAGGGAGGAGGGGAAGTGCTGAGTATGGACACAGCCACATCTGAACTCGAGTCATGGTGGCCTTGCTTCTTAAAGTGATGTGTTTGCCGCAAATATGCATTGAATTCTTACAGCTCAGCAGTGTCCCCGTGAGTGTGGCCAAGCCTAGGGTACAGTCATCTCAGTTGTCTAGGTAACACACAAATGGTGTCACAGGCCACGGACTATGAGACATCTGTTCCATTGAACGAAGTGTCCCATCTTCCACTTTAACGTGCACAGCTGTCTTTTGCAGTAGCCGCATGTCACTACATCTGAAGCAGGTTTACCTCACCTGCAGGCACTTGTTACCCATTGCCATCAAGTTGACTCCAACTCAGTGACCCTTGCAGTACAGGGTAGGACTGTCCTGTGGGGTTTCCAAAGCTGTACATCTTTACAGAAGCAAACTGCCACACCTTTCTCCTGGGGAGAGGCTGCTGGGCTCAAACTGCCAACCTCACAGTTTGCAGCTGAAAGCTTCAGCCACTGCACCACCAGGGCGCCTGTTGGGAAGCCTTGATTCTCACCTCAGCTATGTGCCTCTTCCTGAACCAGGAGATGCTAACCTACTCAGAGTGGCATTCCCTGGTCAGGCCAACTCCTCCTCTTTGTCCTTTGGGAGCTGTCCCTGGTGTGTTTCTGGAGCACTGGTTACCTGTCCCCCTCCTGCCCTCAGCCACTGGAAGGCCTTTGGGACTGGTGTGGCCTGGAAGCCTGGTTTGCTGGCATGCAAACGAGGTCTCGGTGCTGGGGGCCAGGAAGTGAGGGCAGCAGTCATCTACCCTCCTGCAGCCTGGCCAAGGCCCCTCCTCAGAAATCCCCCTCCGTGTCCGACACAGGGCAGAAGGGGGCGATGCGGGCCTCTGGGACTCTCCTGAGTGCAGCGGCTCCTGCCGGTAGGGGGCTGCACTGCAGACTTAGACCAAGGGGAAGGAATTAGACAGATTCCAAACTGGGGGGCCACAGGTATGGCTCTGTGCCTATCAGCGTGGGGCTACAGTCTTGGCCCATCTCAGCTGATGTGCCAGACTCTTTTCCCTGCCTGTCTGGCTGGCAGCCCTGTCTGGGCTCCTGTGCTGGGTCCTGGACCAGCCCCTTCTTGACGCTCTTCTTCTCCCACCAGGTCTACCTCTTCTGCAGTGCATCTGCCTGCTACCCCTCAGGGCTGGAGACGTGCTCGACTACGTGTAGCCCAGGGACTGCCAGTGAGTGTGGAGTGGGGGCCATTCTTTGATACTCCTGCAGGCTCGTTTGTGCCTAGAGACCCACGATATCCTCTTCCCCTGGGCAGGACGGCGACGGTTCTTGGGTCACCACCACGACACTGCCAGGCCCCAGGACATCGTGAGTTCTCCAGGGCCGGTGGGCTTTGAGGATGCTCGTAGGCAGGAGCCTACTATGGCGCCCACAGGTAGGAGGGCTTGAGGGTAGTCCCCTCAGGCACTTCTTGTTATTATGTGCCATCAAGTTGGACCCCCAAACGTCTGCTAACAAAATGAGGGCATACTGGCCCCAGTGAGGGCAGGGCATGAGGTAACTCCATTCATTGGGGAACTGAGCATAGACACAGGCCACCTTATCCGCAGAAAGGCAGTTCCAGTTCTGCCTGGGGTGCTCACAAAGGCCCAGCATGGACAGAGTATCAGAGGGGACTTGCCCAGCCCCGTGGTCCTTCGAATACCATCTCTCTCACACAGGCTCCACCAGGAACTCTACCTCCAAGCTTCTCCTCTGGGTGGTCCTTTTGCTGTTGGCTGTTGCCCTGGTCCTGGGGGTCAGCATCTTCGTGGGACTGAGCCAGGCCTGGGCCCAGAAGCTCCAGGAGACAGCAAAGGGTGAACAAGCTCAATAAACCATTGTTCCCACCTTCCTGGAAGCAGGTGTGCTACTTATTTATGCTAACGTGAACAGGATTCTATCTTGACTTAGAATGTGTCCCTTGCCATCCGCTCTGACCTCTCAGAATTGTGGCCTCTGTTCTGCGTGGTGCCAAGTGTCTCCCATGACTGAATGTGGGACTGATTCACAGCAAGGAATGAAGACAGGATAAGCAAAGGGGTGAGAGGCTGAAAACATGGCAAAGTCAAAGAACCTGGCCGGGATGAATGGCCCAGGAAGGCTGTCAGCTACCCAGACACCAGAGGTCTGACTGGGCATCCTTGGACTGCCCACTTGACTGCCATCATGGATAAGGGGAACCCCAGGGCTCCCAGGGCCAAGAGAACTAAACTCGAGTTGAGGGAGTTCTTCATGGCTCTGCTCTGAGCCTACCAGCCTACCAATGAAGGCTCTTGGCTACACTCTCACCACCAGCACCTGGGCCTCTCTGGACTGGTCCATATGGGAATGGTTGGCCCAGGCTGGGAGCTTGCCTGCTCCCTTAGGCACAGCCACCTGACAGGTCGGTACCAGTACTGGTTCTGCTCCTGACCCATTTAGCTGTGTGTGACATGGGCCTTCATCTCTATCTTGGCAGCAAAGCCCTTTCCTGAATGATCTTCCAGGCTGGAAAGGGATAGCATTTGGAGGGGTGGGGAGATGTAGGGTTCAGCTCCTTGAGGACAGGAAGTCCATGGGGAAGCTTGAACTTGGCTTCAGGCACCTTTCTGGGCTTAGGTAAGAGCTGGCACCAAGGGAGCTAAGAAGTTCAAGTCAGACCTGTGGCCTTGACACTATGCAGCCCCCAGCTCCAGCCCACTCCAACTTTTCTGCCTTCAGTTGTAGTCAGTTGCTGTGTGTTGGCCCATGACTTCTGGGGACCCCGTTCACAACAGAACACAACGCAGCTTGGCCCTACACCATCCCCATGACCAGCTGTAGATCAAACCATTGTGATCCACATGGCTCTGGTGGGCTGATTGTCAGGCCAGGTCATCTTCATGTGGAAGTTCTGAAGCCTGTTCAACATCACACAAGCTTCCACTGACTGATGGGTAGTGGCTGCCCCACGGTGCACTGGCTGGGACTCAAACCCAGGTCTTCCAGTGTGGAAGGTGGGGGAGGTCTGACCCTGAATGATCACTGCCTCACTTCTGTCTTCAGGACCCTGGTTAAATAGAGGGAATCCAGAGCCAGGCTGCCTGAGTTACAATCATGGCTCTGCCTCTTACTTGCTGTGTGCTATCAGGCGAGTTACTGAACTTCTCTGAGCTTTAGTTTCCCCATCTATAAGATGGGACTTTTACCTATCCCCATAGGTGTGTTAGGAGCTCTGGTGGCATAGTGCCTAAGGTATTTGACTGCTAACCAGAAGGCTGGAGGTTCAAACCCACCAGCCACTCCTCGCAAGGAAGATAGAGCAATCTACTTCCATAGTGATACCACCTTGGAAACCCAAGGAGGGGTTGCTATGAGTCAGATCCTACTCGATGGCAGTGAGTTTGGTTTTGGTTTACAGGTGTGTTGGATTTGAGTTAGTAGACAATAATGCCTAGTATAGATAGTACATGACAGTCAACATTTACTGAGTGCTATTAACTGCTAACTAAGCTCTCTTCCTCCTGCCCTTTCTGATAACTCCTTTTCTTTTTCCATGATTTTTTTTTTTTTTTTTTTTTTTTTGGTAGGAAGACAAGGTTACAGCCCAAGATGAGGGATAAGGGAAACCACTGCCTTATGACTTCTTTAGCTAGAGGTGGCAGAATGGAACAGGCAGAAAGATCCAGACCCTTGTGATGAAGGTTAACCTCCCTTCTCTGGGCCTCGGTCCTCCTCCCAGCAGTCAGGGATGCCCACTGTACCCTTCCTGGCTTGTACAGGGGGTGTGAGATATAATCTTCATGCTCAGTCTTCCTCCAGAGGGTCAGTATGAAGGAGTGAGGATTCTTAGTTTGGTGGGTGGGAGGAGCCAGGCCGACCTGCTCTTGGGGGCCAAGGTTCTGGCTCCACCCAGCATCAGTGTGTCCATCCTGCCCTACCTCGTACAAGCACGTTCTAGTCATCTCAAAGGCAGGAAAGGCTGGTCCTAGGGTCTGCACGACGCTCTGCTGAAACAAGGCCACACTCCACAGCCAAGCTCTCAGAATCACATTACATAACCAACTTTCCTCTCCAATGTTTTCTAACACAAGGGTAGACGCCTTGTCTCCTTTCTGTCATTTTTAATAGATGCACTCATTATTCTATGTATGGTAGTTAAACTGTCCTATGTATGGTAGTTAAACTATGACATACTTGATCTTTTGATGGAAACAGTGTATTGTCAAGGCAACAAATGTAAATACCATTACATAATTTTCTGTACACTATTTTCAGAGGAAATTCTTTGGCAGAACTTCTGTGTCAAATACAATGTCCTTACTGTTAATCAGATTCTGAAAGCACGTTTCCTCACAGACTTACCACCACAGCCCAGTATCTTCCTAAATCTTTGCCTATCTGAGCATCATTAAGACTGACTACATTGCTAGTTTAAGATGGACCTCTGATTAGAGACCAAGCATCTTGAGGGCATAAATCCCTCTTCGTATCCTCATTTGTTTCTTTTCATCTGTGAAGCGCTTTCATAAATCAAAGGGGCCCACATCCTCAGCTTACAAGTTTCCCTTTGAGTTAGCCATTGCTCTTTCTTTGTGGGCTTCGGCCTTCTTGCTGTATGAGAGGATTATGTAACAACAAATATCCCTTCTCTTATGTTTTCATCTTGGACTATGAAAAAGCCTTCCCCTACCCCACAGAACAAGTTGTTAGGAGCTGTCAGGTGTGCAGCTCACAGAGACCGTATACACATATCAGAGTAAGTGTGCTGCCCGGTCCTGTACCACCTCCAAGACCCCTGGTACAGACAGTCGTACAAGTATTCATTTGATTTCTTGCGATACTCCTGTGACAATGCAAGTGTTTCCCTCCTACGGTCATGGGTATAAGGAGCCTTGGTGGCACAGTGGTTAAAGCACTCAGCTGCTAACCAGAAACTCAATGGTTCAAACCCACCAGCTTCACCATGGGAGAAAGATGTTGTAGTCTATTTCCATAAAGATGACAGCCTTGGAAACCCTATGGGGCAGTTCTACTCTGTCCTCTAGGGTCACTGAGAGTCGGAATCACCTTGACAGCAAAGGGCTCTGGTTTGGGGTCAAGGGTATACAGATGAGTGATTTTTAATAGCTAGGGTTGCCATATTGATATTGAAATAGGACCAAAAGCAGGTCCCTGCCCGGTGCGCAGTCAGGCCAAAACAGTTTACACACCGAGTGATTAAGAAGAGAGAAAATTATTTATTGCAAAGCAGCAATGCAAGGAGTAGGGGTACCCCCATACCCAAATCTGACTCCCCGAAACTCCATCGGATTACAGTTTTGTAGGTTTCAGAAGAGAGGGTTATGCATATTCATAAAAACTTCAGGAATTTGGGTGTGAGATGGTTGACGATTGGCTGAAATGTTAGTTCCCAGTAACTTTGTTCCTCTCTGCCCCACTGTGCATGTCCACGACCAAAGTTAATTTTCAAGTTGTTTTCTAAGACACATGAACGTGTAGATTACCTGTGCATAATGAAATAATAGGAGAGAATGTTTTTCCATTCAGTTCTTAAGGAACTGAGCTTATCCTATTTACTCATCTGTCTCCAACCGGAGTCCTTTGTGTTTACTTATCTACTCCCATCTGGGGTCTGGGGAGGGGAAATAGCTGAGGGTAATTAAGTTTACTTATCTACTCCCATCCATCCTGGGTTCTAGCTGTTCTAATTATCTGCCTTAACCAGGGTGGGGGAAATAGTTTTGACTAGTAAAGTCAAAAAAAAAAGTTTCAGTATTTAAATTGTACAAAGATTTTGTCTGGACTGCTACATCAAAGGATCAAAGAAGCAAATGTACAAAGTGTATGAACAGTGAGGTTCCCGGCTTTCTCTGCGTGGAAACAGAGCATTAAAATCTAGCCCAAATTTTGCCCAGTCTAATGGTTCTTCCTTCCCCCAATAGCACCTCGTGGTGTGATGAGATACCTGAGCCCCGAGAACAGCTTAGTCAGACCCGATGGGGCGATAATCAGCTGTCCTGTGGCAGGAAGCAGATAATCAGCTGTCCTGTGGCAGGAAGCAGAGGTGCCATGGGCAAGTCAGCTTTTATCTCTTCCTACCCCTTTGGGAAGGAGGTCAGGGGCCCTGCCTCAGCTATGTAAGGCCCAAGGACATCCCCTGCCTCTGAGTCTCCCCCAGGGCGCCTCACACTTACACGATGCATGGACTTCAAAAAAACAGGAGTAAATACTTCACTGCCAGTTCCTTAAGCTTGTTGTTGTTGTTGTTATTTGCCGTTGAGTCGCCCCGACTCATAGCGACCCCTCCTTGGGTTTCCGAGGCAGTATCACTACGGAAGTAGGATTGCCCAACCTTCCTTCCGAGGAGTGGCTGGTGGGTTTGAACCGCCTTAAGCTTAAGGAAATCTAACTCCTTAAAGCGCAGCTCTGTGCCTTGAATTTCATACAGAAGTGCCACTTCTCTTTCCAGCAGTAGGAAGATTAGACACCTGATCAACCTCCTAAATTCAACAACGAAAATGCCAGGTTAAGTGCTTTAACCACTGTGCCACCAGGACAGCTATAAATACTTTAAAAGGATTTTACATCATCATTGCGCTGATGTTAACAAAAAAAAAAAAAAAAAAACCCAGGCCAAAAATAAAGTAAAAGTAAAAACTTAGGGAAGTAAAACTTGTCCTCCACCCTGAGGACTTTTATGGAACCGAAACCTTGACCTTCTGCTCTGAGGAGTCTGGGGAACTTGCATATCAAGCTCAGGGACTGCCAGACGGAGTGGAGATCAAGTGTCTGGGTACAGCCGGGGCTCCAGAAGGCTGAGTCTTCAAGTGGGAAATAAGCCCACTGTAAAGGGATGGAGTCCGGTGGTACAGT